CCGTTTTTTGGCACTAAGACAGGATACGTTGAGTAATTAAATGTCCATCCATTCCTGAAGTGCGATTCTTCTTTGCCTTCCACGACGTTCTACCTTGCCAACTCGAAGATATTGTCTCTTTGAGCAGGTGGTCTTTGCAGGCAGCTTACAAGACAAGAACTTCCGCGTCTTTACCGCGCACTTTTTAGTCGCCGCTCCTGGGGTTTTCCGCTAGGAGGGATACGGTCGGACCCTAATCCTGACCCGTGGCTTAAAGCCCCTTAACATTATACCCACAACGTTTGGAGTCTCAGAATGAGCATTCCATAACTCTAGAAAACCAAAATTGCAGTAACGTTCACACTCAGTCATGAATCGTTCAGTCCAACATTCTCGCGTCTGGCAGGCGTGTCATGGGTTTAATCGCGGCAAGCGGCGCTACTGATCTACTGGGAGGGCGGGGGGGAAGGGCTGGTAGCAAAAAAAAGAGTCACTTTGCCTATGGCGCATATCATCAAACTTTTGTCGCAAAGGATGCCGCTGTTATTGGGAGTTATACGGCAAATTATTCCTTAGATGTCCCCCATAAGCAGAATCAGGCCCACCTTCGCTGCTTCACCGTCTCCAGAATATGACGTCATCTGTCATCACCGTCGAGCTCAAGGAGGCCTACCATAATCGCTCCATTCTGAAGCTGCTACATAATTTCTTCAATCGGATAACTGGTGAATGGCTTCTTAGGGACACTAGCTCTGACTATGCAAGATGGCTTTTGACCAGCGTTTCAGAGACGTCGTAATCGTCTATGGTTTCTCGACGACCTCGTTGAGCTCGTACCGTGCACCATGTTCCGTGGGAAAATCTTCTGATGTCGTCGGTGTAGAAAGCCCCTATGTAATTTTTTTGATAGAATAGAATGTGCTCTTCAATATGCAATTGAGCTCATTCGGTTTGGTTTTGGCAAAGTGTAATAATTCTGTTTGAATGTGAATGAGAGTGACTCTTTTTTTTTGCTCCCGCCCCCCCTTGCTTAGAAGGCGCGCGTGGATGAGCTCTTTCCACCATGCTTTGCTGGTCCAGCGCACCCTGTACAATACCAATAAGGATGGAGAGGCTAACCACCGCGATTTCTTGTTTGTCCATCGTGGCTCGTACGTCAGTGAAGTAAGAGCCCACATTAGGGGTATTTAGGGATTTCTTTTTTGATCCACTTCGCAAAGCTGATTTGTTTTGCTGTGCAAAGGCCACACCAGTTTCATCGTGGAGTATACCTTTGAGCGCATCAACTTCGTTTTCTTCCTGTCAAGACCGAAAATTCCCTGCATCTTTCTATCTTCTGCACTAGAACTGCAACATAACCTTGAAATAAGGACCTCTTTACGGGCGACTTCAATATGAAAATTCACAATTCAAATATTAAAATTTAAGAATTCCACACTCCGTATTACAGAGACCATGAGAACTTCTCATCGGAAGAGGAGCACTCAGCGACACCTCCTGTGTACATCTCCCTCGTCAAATCAGAGGTAACTGATCCAGCCAATAACCATTTAGCCACTAAGTCGCCTCGCACTTCGTGTTCCTCGAATGTTAAACTTGATATGAAAAGTTATTCTATCTAAAAATAATAAGAAAATAAAGCTGCGTCAAACGGAATCGCATAAAATGGAGTAGCCAACAACACTGCGAAAAGGCAGTCGGTAGCCAGGCAAACTGATAGGTTGGTAATTTGGTAACGTCACTTGCATTTGCGACATTATTTCTAGGTCACAGTGAAACGCTTCACAATAAGAAAGCATATATGCGAGTAATAGAGTAATAGATATATTGGACGTCAGTGAACACTGTTCTTCGCCCAAATTTTTATTAGGTTGTAAAGAAAGTTCTGCGACACCCTTTCTAAAATTTTCTCTTTTTCTGAAAAACAATTCACGTGGTGATTATAAGTGCTGCAGTCAGTAGTATCCAAGAAAATTCAAAAAATCTCGACCACTAGCAAATCCGTACTCCGAGTCACTGTCTAGTACAAATGTCTACAAAACCATGGATTCGTGTCAACGACTGACACTATCTGCAATAGCTTCTAATAGGCATGCCGTTCAGCGCTACAGCGTGTTTCACCTTTACCAGCGCTTCCGATCTTTTGATATTTTTATAAGAAACCAGCAGCGTCCCATCACACTCCATTGCAGGTAGGCGCTCTTCGCGAAATGGGCCTAAGATTACTTCTTTATGGACCATTGGGTGCTCTGGCTCTTAGGCCTAGGGTCTAGGCTGTGGAATACCAGAAGCTGGCCGAGGCAGCTCGTCAAGAGCCCTCGTACCGCGACAATATTCATTTCTTTCATGACATTGCGAATCACCATGATCCGAAATGAGCCCGGTAAGAAATTCTGGAGCTGCGGCAAGATTTCTTACCTCTCTGAGCGCGTATTCCCCTGGTCGAGCTATAAATGACTGCCACCTACCCTGGACCTTAAATCATCATCTTGATGACGAAATAATTAGACGATCAACTCCAACTTGAAATGAGGTCGCCCCCTTTCTCGACTGAGAGACAAGTGGTGGACACTCAGGGTAAATATGAGACTGGTCAGGAGTTATAACCAGAAAAGATGAAATTAAAACCAAAAATCCGGAAAAGTGTCGCAGGAGCTTGGCTTTTCCCACCTAATAGCCTGTGTGGGAAGCGTTTTAAATTTGGTCCAGCGCGAGTGCATTGATAGACACAACAGGGAAAACCGGGCTACTCAATTTCATCGCTACCTATGCGAAATATTTAGCAGTGACATGCCCTTCTTCTGGTAGCAGTGCTGCGATGACTGCTACGTTTTCCAAAAAGAGACAAAAGCTCCGAAGAGGAGAATTATGGAATGAAATGGACCTAATAAGGCCATCGAAAAGAAATTTCCACGATAGAAAATCCAAGTGAGCTCGATAATACCACAGTTCAAAGTGATAAGTCATTTATAGTTAATATACAGTGTACAGTGCCGACCTCCGCGCTTTCGACTTTTTCGTTCTCTGTGAATCAAATAAGTCCTCGAAATCCACTGCACAATTTGAGGGCAGGGGCAACCGTCGCGTTCCCAAAAATTATGTGACGGACCCTCGATCGAACGAATTAGCCTTGAGAGACCCCACCATATGACACCTTTTCTATCTTCCCACCGATGTCGCCATCATGGGTGTTTCTGCTATAGTTTGACTCTGAGCCAGTCGACACACCTAACTCCGCCTACTTTTGCCCCCACAACGAGTAGAGTCTATATTTCAGCAAATACACAAAAGCGTGCAGCGATGAAGGAAAGTGCAAAGATGACAAGGAAAGGCGTTTACAATAATATTTTGCAGGAATTTTCTTGTTTAATTAATTGCGTATGCTCTGTTGGGGGTCGTGCCGAGACCTCGATCCTCCTCCACGCGGGGGGGGGTTCTCGCGCTCCTTCTGCAGCACAGCGTCCATCTCGACAGATTTTCACCGCTCGGGTGTCAAGCACTGCACCTGATCATTGTTGCCAACGGCAATGAATACAGGGTGCGCCAAGACAGCACTTCCGCGCACTATTGGACCACTATTCAAAGATGCTGTTTACTGCTGCGCTCATTTTGGTTTAGTTGTGTTGACCTGTTCATAATTATCTTGTTTGACCACCAATATGTATGATTGTTACGATGGCTGAATGATTCTGCCGCTATTTCTAGATCACTGAACTTCAACTTTGAGTGTTTGCGGCACGCAAGAATTATCAGCGTTTTGGTTTTTACCTGGGTACCAATCATGGATTCCACTAAACGCTCCAAGGAGTAAGGAACCGAATGCACTCATTCTGGATGGGAAGGCTGTGTTTCCGAGACGGCCACGAGCAATGTCAGCATGGTGCGCAACAGAATTTGGTGGCACTTCGCGCACTCGTTCCGCCGAATGTCACGAGAGATGGACATTAAGGAGATTACTTGAGAATTCCCAAGCAAATTGCCATCTTAAGATTTTGAAAAACATTGTTTGATCTTTCATAAGGAAGGGATTTCCATAGGGCAAGGGTGGTGCTGAACTGGGTCAGAGCCAATTTTGTCGAATTCATCACTTTTAACGAGTTGGTCAGCATTTCAGATTCTATATAAATGGCTTACACTGTAGAATTGATTCTGCAAGCTGAAACTTGCACGGAACTTTACATTTTTGGGGATTATTTTGAAGAATTGCTTCAGAATACGTAGAACGGATTCTACGCACTACCTTGCGTGCCACCGCCGATGGTTCCTCACTGCTTCTCAAGGCCCGTATAAGTGCCAACGAAGGAATTTCTGAGATTTGGCAGATGTTTACGATTCATTATTGAACAGTGAACGTTACTGCATTTTTGGCTTCCTGGAATTGTGGCGTGTTCATTCTAGGCGACTCGAAATCGCTGTCTCCGTAATTTTGGCGCACCCTGTAGAAATCAGTAGCAACCTTCGCCTGCTTTATGTGATGTACCCAGTTATCCGTCATCATAAAAGCTAATCTTCACCGAGATCGCTCACCTCTCCAACGGTTTATCGCTTCTCCAACGCGAACAAAACGGCGAGGTCCAAACTGTTGCGATGAAAAGGACTTATCATAACCTGATATTTGAACATTTCCCAGAACGTTAAAAGAGCTCAATATAGGATTTCTTGGTTGTTTGATTTTGATAAATTTTGTAGGATGAGCGGACGGCAGAACATCGAGAGAGACTGCGAAGGTCTAGGTCAATCTTGAAACAAGCAACCGCTAGACCTGTACTGCGACACACCCTTCTTCATGCTGCACAACCAACGTCCAGATGTAGTGCGAAGATGCAAGCTTAATTTCTCAGAAGCAAATACAGTGGACATCATGAACAATAAAAGTATAAATTATTCATGAATACATGTTCAACAAATGATGAAACAAGTTCTTCTACATCTTAAATATTACAAACAACAACACATTAAAGAGATATATAAGTTATATTAACGAACACAGCAGTGACCCATAAATAGGAAGTGATTGCGAGTTAAGCGCGGCTTCGTGTGAACTTTCCCCAAATATGTAGAACGAATACAGACGCGATGAAAACCAAGCTCATCACAAGCACTGGCACAGGGCCAATCTTCAGACCAGTGGAGTCTTCAGTGTAAAAACGCCATAGCCCTCCACTGTTACCAGCACGAGCGCGACCAGAAGAGGCGGCGGCTGCACCTAAAATGATTTGCAATGTCGACGCCAGTTTCAGAATTGCAGAAGTATCAGTGGAGCACATTACAGAGAAACAGCAATTTCCAAAGTAAGCCGGGAATACATGGAAGCCATCCGTTGTCTTTTCACCAAATCAGAACTACTTGAAAATGCGTATGCGGACCCAACTGTAGGACATATTGCTAGATGAAGTGCGCTTAAACGCATTAAGGCCTTATGTGGGGTGGGAAAACCAAACGTGCAAGTGCAACCACGGCTGTTCAATCCATGTTAGGCTGGTGTCAGAGTCCGCGATCCGTCGCAGGTTTCGCTGATTTTCGCGATTTCGCGATTTGCGCGATTTCGCGATTTGCGCGATTCACGCGACGGGTCACGGAAATCACAAGTGCCCGATCAATACTGCAAGGTGTTCTCCAATCCTGCCGCCACTTCTGCTTGATAGTGATGGCTGAATGACGACTGCTCATGATTCCACTTGTTTCATATTCAGTGTTTCAAATGTTCACACACTTGCAATTTTTGCGATCCGTCGCGTGAATCGCGCAAATCGCGTGAAATCGCGCAAATCGCGCAAATCGCGAAAATCAGCGAAACCTGCGACGGATCGCGGACTCTGACACCAGCCTTAGAAGAGTTCAGATCAGCAAACCACCATGAGGAAAAACCAAACGTCGTCCTCACTTATTCTATGCTCACCATCAGACAGCATTTCAGACTGAACTAAAACCCGATTCCGAAAGTTAGCAACAAGCCCAAATGACCGTAAAAAATAAAAATGTTGAGTGAATCCGCTTCCATATACCTCAAACTCGCTACTAAATCGTAACCTAATGCGTGGTAGAAGTCACGAGATGTTTGACAAAAGGAACTCACTCGGGAACACTGAAGGAAAGAGTAGAAGAAAAGCAATGTTATTAAGTACTGATTCCCTAAGATCAGATGAGCTGAACTGTTTCATGGTAGCGCGGCAATCCAAAGCAAATAGTTCTTGCTCGACTGAACGTCTGTATAGCCCTATCTAAAATTGGCATCACTGCCTTGGGAAATTAAATCGAAGACAGGATAAAACACTTCTGATAGTTGCGTCAAAAATATAGCATATATAGGGTGGCAAAACACTTGGTTTGTTAGTTGGTGCAAAAGGCTCAACTGTCTGTTACCTACGACGCAACTCTTCCAATAGTCGGAACTAGGTATATCCATTTTCCAGCTTCTACATTTGTTCTGGTACCTTGTGATGTACCAAAAACACAATCTTTCTTCCAATACATCACCGTTTCATCTCCAGCCTAGCAAGAGGTCTTCATATACATCACATGTCGAGTACGGGCTGCTCAGCTCAATTTCCTATCATCACCCCCTCCCCTCTCCTCCCCCACTCCCTCACACCCAGATATTCCAGGACATCGCAATTTACCCCCCCCCCCCAACAAAAACAGATATCAACTCTAGTACGTAACTAGATTCGGATATACACTCCGATGGAAGCGATTTGATCTATATTATTAGCCCCAGGAGGTGCCTTAAGCAAATCTTAAAGCTTTATCTATTTAACGCGCTACTACCAGCTCGAGACGGCAAGTGGACCTCCTGTGTACACATCTCTCTAGAGAGGTTCCGAAGAAGGTGAAAGCACAGAAAGGTCGGCCTAATGAAGGTTACGGTCAGTCTTGATCGGGATAAAAAGCCTTCTGATGGAGAAAAAGATACACTAAGAGCATCCTAAAGAGGAAGTGTTTCCAAAATGTATTGGTAGAGAATTTTTCGCGTATTAAAGCCCCGACCGTAATAAATTTACAAATTCCCAAGGCATATACTAACTGTGGTGAATGCTTGAAACCCTTTTGAGTCGAGGCTTCTGATACTGAGCAAATAGGATACAAAAACCTCTCATTGTATTAACTATCGATCTAAGCTGGACAACTAAACCTGTGTCAGAACCTTCGAAGACCTTGATACTATTGGGCTAGGTTTACCAAAGAGGTTTACCATTTTTTGCGGAAAAAATAAATTGCTAGAAACGCAGTGACCTTTCACAATGAAGGAAATAAACAGATAAAGAAATAACCAACCGCCGCCACGTCGTTGTCTCAGTTGGGAGCCTGCGGGTCGAGGGCTACGTCCTGTATCCGACATTGGTGAAGCTGAAACTATCAACACTCCGACTAGCGCAAAAAACGAAACCAACGAGACGAAAACGCAAGAACACAAGGAGGAAAGCAGAAAAAAGAAACACCACTATCTCAATGTGGACTTCCCCTTTGCTACCAATTGTGTGACACGAACCGTTAAGAAGCCCGCGGTCCACGTCGCGCGATGGAAACTACCCGGCGACCACCGTAAAAATTGGCAAACCGCCAGCCATTTGCAGTTCGGCTGCGTAGAACTCGGTCTGCACGTCGTATCGCGTTATTTGTGTGTATCGCGGGCTGCTACGCAGTTAGCAAACTGCGTTCGAGCTCCGCCTCTAAAGAACGATCGCGCAAGGGAGAGGGAGGCTGGGCGAGGTGATCCGCGGCTCTGGATGCCCTGGTCCGTTTTGACGCATGGGGATGAGCTGGTTGCTGGAATTGCGATGTTTTAGCTCCTATCTTTTCGGATATATCTGTCAAGTTGCCAACGTTCGTAACATTTTTCCAGGCACTGATTCCGGTCAATTGCCTCTTATTACATTTTATACTACTTTTACTTTTCTGCTCATCGTTCTTTCGTGAATGGATTGCTTGTAGCATGATTTTTTTAAAGTTTACTTACGATCTTTGACGTTAAATAGTGCAATTCTACGTCATTGTTACTACAATCGACGAATTCTTATAAAATAATGGCGGTAATGAGTATGGTAGACTGTTCGCTTCACGTTTCGCTCCCTGCTCAGTGCTGTTCCTTCATATAGCTAATGTGCGTGTCTTCGGCCCTTTTTTATTCTTTTGCAACAGCACCATCACCCTTCCAATGGGCCGTATGCTATGCTCCCCTTTAGGGTAGGGTTAAATTTTCCTTGTTTTTCTAACTAAAAGTGCCCTCATAAAGGGCCTACATTAAATGTATGCATGTAGGTAAAAGTAAACATATAAACACCTTAGCATTCTTCCGGTCATTCCACATGGTGCTGCTGTGGCAGCTGGAGGGCAGTGGAGGAGGAGGGTCCCGGCGGTTGACGGGGACCAATCTGGTGTTAAACAAAATATCAATTTCATATGAATCGAGCCGCGAATGGGGAGAGCACAGATAATCAGAGAACGGCAACTGGATCGGCTCAAGTCTTGATGAGGAAGCTGGGGCTCTAGGACTAAGGGACTTGGAGGGAGCCGGGACTTTGGGGTGGGTGTGGTTCACTAGGACAGAAAGCGACTTTTTCGCGTTTCGCAAGCGAAACATTTTTCGTTGCAGGAACCTCAATTCCACTGATGATCAGGGGCGGTATTCAATCCTTCCCCTAGGGGTTGGGGGACGAAAAACCCTTTGGCACTATTGAGCTATTACAACCCCAGAGGTGAGATGGATCAAAAAATTTTTTCGCTGAAACTTGCGCTAGGGGGTTATCGAGGCTCCTGATCACGAATATGACCTTAGTTTTTGGCGCTGGCGCCAAATTGGCGCCATTTGGCGCCAAGGGTGTTCTCACCAAATTCGCTGTAAACTTGTGGATAGGGGTTATCGAGGCTCCTGATCACGAATATGAACTTAGTTTTTGGCGCTGGTGCCAAATTTTCGCTATTTGGCGCCAATTGGCGCCAAGGGTGTTTTCACCAAATTCGCTGTAGACTTGTGAGTAGGGGTTATCGAGGCTCCTGATCACGAATATACCTATTTTGTCGCTCAATCTATAGGTGCGGGCTCAAAATAGATGAAATTTCTTCGAAGTACGGGACCCCGTGAGCCAGGGGGAGTGAAGCCAGTTCAGGGGGGGGTGAGGGCAGCCACTTGATGCCCCCCCTTACTGGATGAGCGCCTAGATGACATCTATTTCGAGCGTCACCTAGAGAAATTGAGCCAAAACTAAGGTCATATTCGTGATCAGGAGCCTCGATAACCCCTATCCACAAGTTTACAGCGAATTTGGTGAGAACACCCTTGGCGCCAATTGGCGCCAAAGCGCCAATTTGGCGCCAGCGCCAAAAACTAAGGTCATATTCGTGATCAGGAGCCTCGATAACCCCCCTAGCGCAAGTTTCAGCGAATTTTGATCATGCTCACCACTCTGGGTTTATAGCACTCATAGGCTCAACCCTTTAAATTTTCTCCGTCTTCCCAACTGGGATTGTCCTGATAAAGGGTCTAGATTTAATGTATGTTATTATGTCACAGTAAGCATGCATTGAAAATGAAGAAACTACATCGTTAAAAACAAATAAATTCAAAGGGATACGTTTCCCAAGGGGGAATGGATTGAATACCCAAAGGTGACTATAGAGTTCGCAGCGAAAATCTTTCGCTGCGAAATTCGAAAAAGTAGCTCTGTCCTAGTGACACACACCGCTGGAGGTGGGTGAGCAATTAAGTAGCAAGTTTGAAATAACGTTCATGCACGTCTTTTAGACGAAGAGCGCACGCGAGGCATTCAAAAGCCATTCAAATCGAGACAGCTCATAGGGGTGTGACTCGCTAATTGTAAGACGGAAAGCGACACGCATGATCACAAGCAGGGTTAATAACGGTCGAGGATTTCCTCGACCAAGCTCTCTACCATGCGAGAGTAGTGCCGAGAGTGAACATCCGCGCGGAGAGCACAGACGGCACCCCATGGCGAGTGTGAATGTCCGCGCGAGAGATCGTGTCTGACCGGGCAGAGAATCCTCGACGTGCCTTGAGGAATCCTCAAGCGATATTCACATGACACAGTGCGACACCGCATGCTCGCAGCGAAAAATGTTTACCGCTACAAATTACGCGAAAAAGTCGCTTCGTCTAGAGAATCACACGGTGAATAATTAAGCCATAATTTGGTACTCCTACTATAGTATGCGCCCAATCGTGCAGGAACGACATGAGCCTCAATGCTACAGTAAACCCTCAGCTCCGGAGCGCGAGACTCCTCGACAGGTCGGAGTGTAGTCAGTCTATGCGGTTGTGGTGAGAGCAGTAACTGACATGGCCTGAAAGCTGAAAGTTCGAATTCAACCACGATCGCGGAGTCTCCGAGTTTAGCAGTTCCTCCTATGCGTGCCGCTATAGGGTCTGGGGCGGTATTCAATCCTTCCTCCCAGGGAGATCCCCCCTCTCTGATTCAATCCTCTGGGGGGGGGGGGACAAAAAAGGGTTGCGTCATAGGACCTAGCATACCTCTGTGTTTCTACCTGCCAGACAGTTAGAGCAGCGCTACTACCCTCCACTGATGAAGCACTCTTTCCCCTGAGGGGTCGCGCTGCTCTAACTGTCTGGCAGGTAGAAACACAGAGGTATGCTAGGTCCTATGATACGGCAACTCTCATTTTTTGTTTATCCCGAGGATTACAGGAGAGGCAGATACATCCTTGGGGAAGGAATTAATACCCGCCAGTAGAGTCAAATCCCTACTCCGAATAACAAGTCGGCTCCTATCGTGCATAGTACTATCTACGATCACAGATTCACGGTACGTATCGATCATCCGATCGTCCAGTCCTGGAACGATTTTGACGAAGGATACGCATCCAGTGCCGTACGGTCGCTACAAGCGAACGAGTGACTGTGAATGCGCCTCTCTCCGACTGTGTTACCCCCTTTTTTATTTTCCTTTCCTTTTACTACTAAGCAATTGTCTTGGGAATCCCTCGCCTCCTTCGGGCTTACCATACATACATTTTACGAACTCACTTTTTCTAAGCCTTCAGGTTGTTCTAGATTGTGCTCTCCTTCCTAGGTGTTTACTAGCCTCTGCGCACTTCACTTTCATACAACTGTGTTGCATTCTGCGAGTACATATTACTGTTTTACATCCAAGATTAACTTTTACATATTCTGCTGAACACTCTATATTCTTTTGTAGATAGGCGCTCTTTTTGTTATGCCATCGACTCACAAATCATGGATAAGTTTTTTTTTTTGCGAGGCTGCCTTTTCCTTTCGGTGTACCGTTGTTGTTCTTTTGATGCCTTACGGTACAATTTTCCGCCGTCTGTTTATTGCGTTTTTTTCCGGTTTTTCCCAACACATACAACGCGCCGCATATCTTAATTTATCCATAGCGATTGCTCTAGCAGCTACACTTACAGAGTGATTGCACGCAATGGGAATTCAAGAAAGAGAGATTCTCTCTCAGTATATTCACAAGCTAATCATCAAGAAGCTGCACGTTTACCTCAATTTGCTGGTGCGTCATTTCACTAGCTCCGCTTTATCTTTTCTAATGGGATGTGAACCAAATGGAGTAGCGTTGATTTTCATAAACAAAAAGAATCAGTAGCAGCTTACGAAATCATTATTCGCGCTACGTGGGTCGAGTCGTTACGATCGCACAGGGGGATTCAGGTACGTATCAGTGATTCATCGTCCAGTCCTGAACAATTCTGACGAAGGCGTTGCTCCAGTGCCGCTTATGGTTGCCTACAGCGAACGATCGACTGAATGAGGTGCCCTCGACTGATATTAGCCCCCTTTTTATTTTCCTTGTTTCCCTTTTACCACTAAGCAATCGTCTTGGGAATCTCTCGCCTCCTTCGGGCTAATCATTTCGTACATTTTACGAACTTCTCTTTTCCTAAACCCTCAGGTTGTTCTAGATTGTGCTCTCCTTCCTATTTGGTGTTGTTAGTCTCTGCGCACTTCTAACATGGTAGAACAGTATTGCATTTCTGCGAGTATGACTTTACTATTACATTTAAATTAACTTCACAACATCTTTCTTCTGAAGGCACATTTTAGGAACCTGTCTGTTGGTACTGCGGCTGTTATTATGCATCGACTCGCAAATCGTGGATAAGTTTTTTTTTTCTGCGAGGCGGCATTTTCATTCAAGCCTTCCGTGTACAGTTATGTTGTTCTTTTTATGTCTAACGGTACAAGCGTTACAGCGTTCGAGTTCTCTCCAAACGCGTCATACACTGTCGGCATATCCTAATCTTATCATAAGCGTGCTCTATGCAGCAACACTTTACAGGTGATTGCGCAACAATGGGGAAGTTCACAAGAGAAGAAGAGGTTCTCCTCTCTAGTTATTCACCAGCGAACTCAGCAAGAAGCAGTGCACTGTTTTACCTTTTTTTTTTTTTCACAGCTGGGTTATTTACTAGCTCCGGCTTTATCTTTTATGGGAAGTGCACAAATGGAGGTAGCGGTTGGATTTCTCATTTTTCAGAAAAATGGCACTATTCAACTATTACAACCCCAAAATCTCAAAATTTTAATTTTCGCGAAACTTCGCCCATAGGGGTTATTCGATGCCCTGATCACGAAAATGACATTCATTTTTGGCGTTGGCGCCATCTGGCGCCAATTGGCGCCAGTTTGGCGCCAGGGCTATTTTCACCAAATTCGCTCTAAACTTGTATACAGGGGTTATTTGGGTCCTGATCACGAATACGACATTGGTTTCCAGCATTTGCAGCAACGCAGATTTTCCGTTTTCCTGGGCCCTCCCACTTGTACATACTACCTCAGACTAAGCTTAGGAGGAGGGAGGACTCCTGGGTGGGTGAACCAGGCAACGTGTGGCAAAAGTTGAAGCGTATAAGATCACAGGATGGGTGTTATTCACTCACTTCGGAGCACTCTTCTCCCCAAAGGCTTAGTCCTGATCGCGAGCTAATCAGTGAGAGGGCGCAGACGAGCCGAAAATAGGCGCCAAATGGCGCAGGCGCCAAAATGAATGTTATATTCGTAATCAGGACCCCAAATAACCCCTGTATACAAGTTTACAGCGAATTTGGTGAAAATAGCCCTGGCGCCAATTGGCGCCAGATGGCGCCAACGTTAAAAATGAATGTCATTTTCGTGATCAGGGCATCGAATAACCCCTATGGGCGAAGTTTCGACGAAAATTAAAATTTTGAGATTTTGGGGTTGTAATAGTGACAGAAAAGGGAAAAAGTGGAATGATCTGGCACACAATTTTTTCTGTTCGATTTTCATTAATTCCTCTCACTGAGAATCGATGTGGCGAGGCAAATAGATCACGGACCTTTTTGGCTTTGTGGAGCGTCTTTTAATTTTGGTAGTGATTGGTTCTGTTTTAACGTTGCTTACATTTGTGATGCTGTTTTCAGTGTGATTAGAGGGGATTACTATAATAGATTGCTTCTTTCGGTACAGGTGCATTTCGTAGGTACTACGCTCGCGTTTGTGAAGCAGGCGGTTCATAAAAATTGAATCACTGAAAACATGCGTCTAATTTTGTTCAGTTCGTTTGTTTCATTAACTCTCAAATCATTGGTGAGGACGATCAATGCATTACGGCGACATCTTCAGATTAGAATTTTTGCAGCAGAGTTGTGAAATTGTGCTCGATAAATTGACGCATAGTATTACTTGTGCGGTTCGCTAGGACAGAAAGCAATTTTTTCGCGTTTTTTGCTGCTGAAACCTCAAGTCCACCGTTGTACATGAGTGCACCGGAGTCATGTTGTGGCCCAGAGCGTGCAGCTGAAAATGAGGCGCGGTGAACCTTTTGTAAAGATTTATTTACGATCAAGCAACCGATGAACTCGTGACCATCTCAGGCCGACATCGGCGAGAATCACGACCAGCAGATGCTCTGGGTGCTCCTCAAGGGCCTCGTGTCAATCTTCTTTTGTTCTCAACCCTTTTACCTTTTACCCTCTTTTATGGTTTGGGTTTGAATCTGTGCCACCTGAAGAACACCGCTCACTTAAAAGGATTGAATCAACCAACACTTCGTCCAGTGGTAGCACAGGGCTTAGCCCAAACGTTCGAAATGAAGGGAAACGATAGAAAAATCAGTTTCTTCTCGCAAGAGCAGGGTTTTGTAATCTATATAGAAAAAAGCTCTCATCCGCAAAAAAGTGATGAACTATGGCCGTAGTTGAAGCCTTGTGCAAGCAATTTTTATGCGACGAGGGTCTTCTCGTGTGTTTATTCCGTTGCAATACAATAATTAGTTGCAAGAGATTCACCGATCGTTTGCTCGCGCAACCAGTGTAAGGTAGATGGGTATCGTCGTCCAACTCATACGATTGTGGACGTTGTGAACGCATGGTCAATACGCATCCACTCTACGCACGGTTGTGGATCAGTTGATTGTTCCGAATAAACTACGGCCTCAAATGCTGAAATGCTCACCTTATCGGGATACGCGCAATATCTTTCCTTTCCTGTTTCAATATCTGTTGGAGACGGTTCACTAAAATTCACAAAATCATTCAGGTGGCTGAATCATGGATAGTTTGGATCATTTCTGCTGTTGCTTCGACGTACTTTCTTTCTATGGCTTGCAAAAACCAGAAGCGGCTTCTGAAGCACCAGTAAGCACGCTTTGCTTTGCACTAGTGTCAAAAATTCAATGTTTATCTGTTCAAAGGATTGTTATGAAGCGAGGTTCTGCAGTGGATAGAGAAATCAGTCAAAAATACGCCAATGACAAGAAAATGAGCACTAAGGAAAAAGAGGTAATACACATCAATACATTAATATTTTTCTTTTCATTAAGGTGTTGGAGTGCTTTTATGCTTTGCGCCTAAGGCGCCTTTGTCTACGCGCGCCTTACGAGGGAAATGCAAGTTCCGCACCGCGTGCCGAAATACATGCCACACGGTCAATGCTGCCTGTGTCTAGCGTCGGCGCTTTATTTTCGGACTGGCAAAAAGATGTTGAAAATGAGCTTAACCAATTGCGCTGCCTTTTTCGTCACATACCTCTGTTTAGAGAACAGCCCAGAAGTCATGTAAAGCATTGCTGAGTTCAGTATTTGAAGGTGAATGGCAGTGCTGTGCAC